AGGTGTAAGGAAGAAAGTCTTCACTAGGAGGGTGGTGAGGCTCTGGAACAGGTTGCCCAGAGAAGCTGTGGATGCGCCATCCATGGAAGTGTTCAAGGCCAGGTTGGATGGGGCTTTGAGCAACGTGGTCTAGTGGAAGGTGTCCCTGCCCATGGCAGGGGGGTTGGAACTAGGTGATCTTTAAGGTTCCTTCCAACCCAAACCATTCTATGATTCTATAATGATCTGGGTTTAAGTCACTAGTTGTGATATTTTTAAGTTTGTGGAGGTTGTTTGTGGTTTGGTGACTCATCATAGCCCGGTAGCTGTTGGGGTTGGTGTCCCCAGAGAAGGGACTTTAGGGTCAGCCTGGTGAGGGACCAGAAGTGTAAATAGACAGTGTGGAGGGGAAGACCAGGAGTATAACTGCAGTACAAGAGTATGGCCTTGGCAGGTTGGTGAACATTTTCATGGGGACTGGGCTGGCTGGGGAGAAGTGTGGCTTTCCTTGGCTGTCCTTGACCCCAGTAGCTACAGGTCTTGAAGTGGGTGGCACATCCATTTAGTAGGGATGGCAACTTCCGAGCATGTCTAAAAGATGTTTGCTGCATGGCCTCAGTGCCCTTCTCATCAGACACTGTCACCCACCCATGGCTGGCACTGTCCCTGACAGTCCCAGCGAGGAAGCTGAGGATACGAGGCAGTGAGACAGACTCGATGAGGGAGATGTCCCCACAACGGGAACTGGGTGCGACCAGTAAATGGCGGTGGCTGCTGCGCACCCAATGAAGAGTGCTTCCCTAGCATTGCTCGTCTGGCTTAGGCACGTGGAGGGATAAGGGTGGGATACAGCCCGTGTGGTGTGGCTTTCACCCGTAGCTATCTCCTCCTGGACTAAAAATCTCTTTGCTTACATTTTCAATGTTTTATAGTTTTGCCATTTGTTTTTATTGCTTGCTTGAAAAAAAGAAAGCGAAATTGTGTTTATTGTGTTTCTTTAGTTAAAAGAATCAAATGATGAGTCCAATCTTAAAACGAAATCAAACCCAAACAACAGGAGTTTGGGAGCTGCACAAGTGGCTCATTTCCTCTGGGTTTCTAAATAAGTACAGGTCCATGAAACATGTTTTTGTTCCCGTTTTTTCTATACACAACATTGTGGAAACTTTAAGTAAAATCTGTCCCTAAATAGGCATCCCTGGGACGTGCAGCTGCCAAAACAAAAATCAGGCAACAAAACTGGGCTTGTGTCCTGCAAACAATTTATCCTGCTCTCTTTTTTCTTTCTCTTTAATCCCTTCCATTTAATTTTCCTGACAGTTTTTTTAGGCAATACTGTGCCTAGCTGATGCTTCACCCTCGCCCTTTGGGTGACTGCAGCCACCTCTGTATCAGATCACGGTTTCTGGCAGCAACCGTGTGAGCTGCTCCATGTCCTGCCCTGGGTAAATGCTCCAGCTGTAGGGATGCCTGGAAGGTTGATCCTCCATGGGACTGTCAGCCAAGGTATAAGTTAGTTTTGTATTTGTTGGTGTCTTATCCTGGTTGTCTCTCACAATTGCTCTGATACCTTTTTGGGAAATGGTGCAATGAAGGGTATATTTGGGCTTGTACGATTAAATTGCATATAGTTCTGTGAAAAAGCAAAGCTGGAAGTAAAACTTTGCAATGACAGCATCAGCTTATTGCATTTCCAGTATCTATCTGCGTGGTTACTAGGACAGTTGAGGAACTTCTAAATTAATCGACTTCCATCTCCTTGTAAAACCACTTGATTTCCTTTTCTAAATTACATTACTCTACATTTAGGCATGGTGTAATCATCTGCCCTTCTCACACATGAGCAAAATAAATGTCTGCTTACACAGGGTCACCCTTTTTATTTGAAAGAAAACTTTATCCCCTGCTAGTACTTAAAGGCCTATGTAACTTGTCTGTAACAGCATATAGATATCTTGAAAGCATAAGAATACTCTTTTTCAACTTTCAAGAAAATATACTTTGTGGAAATGCTTGGATTTAAAGCAGATGTTTTCTGAAGCCTATTGCTTTGTTTATCTTGACATGGAAAGGGTTACACTGCATGCCGCACATCTCAGAAAGCAGCACATAGTAATGGACTTTTTATAGGCTGAGGAGACACCAATTCTGAATTTAGGGCCAATCTAATATTATTCATTATAATGTTTTCTCCATCTGCATTTTTATTGTTGCTTTGCCTCTTCGTTCTCTATCTGATTCTCTGAAATTGTCTGCAGAATAGTAGTTTATTAAAGACCAGAGCTGCAAGTCTGGCAGCAGTCAAGGAGTTTGGAGGCAGAAGCTGATCTCTGCCATCAAATAAAGCATAGACAAGAAGTTACTTCTGTTCGGAGGAGAAGATGAAGGGCACAGAAGAGGCTGTGCTACCCTGGCTGGTGCCTTCTGAAGGGTTGGTGTGGGAATTGGGGCCACTCCTAGTGCAGCTCCCCTTCGGTTGCTGGAAAAAAAATAGTCTGATGGTTCTTTCCTGTTCCCTGGCACCAGTGCCAGGATAGATGTGTGTAGTTCATGGTTGTGTACTTGGTTGTGCATATGGTGAACTGAGTCACGTGCACTCAGTAGTGTCAGAGGTGGAAAGCTTGGCACAAAGCTTGGTACTCTCTGCTGTAAACTATGGCTGCAGTTTGGGAGCCTCTGGCAAATTCACAATAACAAGTCATTTAGCAGCTTTAGGACACCTCTTTGCATGATTTTCACTGAAAAAGGACCTAATTTTGTGTGCACTAGCAATACTGACCAGCAGGTTTCCTACTTAGCAATGTGAGCCTGCGAACATTTTGCCTCTGCTTCTACCCTTTGCACTGCCTCCCCGTCGAATGCACCATCTAGTTCATGCCCCGCGTCTGCTGCAAAAAAAAAACTTTCCCAGAGATCACGACCACTACATATAGGATTTTCCCAGGATGTGAATTAAAAGCATGGAATTTGTTGCTGCAAGTTACCAGATCTCACCTCTTTCCAAAAAATGTGTCTGCTGCAAAAAAAAAAATCTTTCCCGGAGATCACGACCACTACGTATAGGATTTTCCCAGGATGTGAATTAAAAGCATGGAATTTGTTGCTGCAAGTTACCAGATCTCACCTCTTTCCAAATGAAATTAAAAGGTTCATGCTTTGGCTTAGCTCTTTTTGGCAATGTCATCATGTTGCCATTGAGATGTATACAAAGCTGGGCAAAGAAACAGGGCTGGGAGCAGTAAACCTCCTACATACCCTGCAGTTTGGAGGGGAAGAAGGTGGCTGCTATTTGCCAGAGGGATCATGAGACAAATTCTGTCGTGTGTCTTTGTACGTACCAAAAATGCATGGATGAGCATTGCATATGACAGTATCTGGAAACACCACCAGTCACTGTTTTGCTCTGTTGGAGATATATGGCCACAAACCCAGGAGAACAGCACTTTACTATGGCACTAGGGAGGTTATGAATGTGTGGCACAATTCTGGGGTGTCTAAACTCTCAGTTTAGTAAAAATTTTGCAAAACTGAGAATAGTGATAGTAGGTATTGTTACAAAAGCTAGATTTTTTCCTGTGGAACCACTGGTTGTGTAAAATAAAGCAAAAGGAAACTTTGAGCAGGTCTCAGAGTAAGAAGCATTAGTAATATTTAGAACTCTTCTCTTGCAGTAAGTTGCATCCACGTTGGCTTTTCTTGAGAATTGAGTTCCTCTCTCCAGTGTCTTAAATGGCATCTGTAGATGACTCTGCAGATGTGAGCCAAGGGCATGGCATGTAGCCCATAGATTCAGCATGGACAATTATGTGTCTCAGTTACTAAACTGGATACTGATCTAAGCATAGCTGATTTTCCAATAGATGAAAAAATCTTAATTGCGATCTCTTCCATGTGAGTTACCTTTACAGTATCTCTTTCCACCCTTTTTTCCGCCTCTCTCGTCATAAATGTGTAATTTCCTGAAAAAATTTCCTCTACACATTTATTTTTAGGCTTGTGTTTGTTTACCAGAATCTGTCTGAAGCCTGGCTAGATAGCAATTCAATATCCACTCATTGATTTCCTAGCTCTCATTAGCTTAAATACTTACTCGAAGCAGAGGGTAAGGAGGTCTTAATCTTTTATTTTAAGAGCATTTGGTTTTAAGATGGCCTTTTGTGATCTGTTGTATCTGAATCAATTTAAAAAGGGACCATTTATATTATCATTCTCTTTAATGTTTACTTTTTGGCATGAGCATCTGGTTGTTTCTGTTTTATAGTACTTTGAAACGGAAACTCAGTTAGATATAGAAATTAATGAGCTCACTGATCGTTTGCC